GGGTGTTGGAAAATTAACTTTATACTTCTAGCACCCCATGACCTATAATTCCAGTTACAAATTTGCCGAATCTGTGGGGAGGAGAAGAGGGGTGGGATTTCTGATTTAATAAACCAAGAACCAATAAAGGTTTAGGAATAAAATAGTTTTGATCTGAAACATTCTTCCAGGCATAATGACTAGATGTTCATGGGTTGATTACAGGAGTGATGAAATAAGATCTTTTTAAATGACTATATTCAAAGACTATCTTTCCATCCTAACCATATTTAAATGCTACCTGCTTATGACCCAAGGTTCCACATTTTTGGCAGTGGTGATAACATCTGGAATGTTAAGGGCATATTCTGGGCACTTGTGTGAAAAGGATGCTAACCAGCCACAAATCAACTGTTTCCTAGCATGTTTTGTGTCACTTCTAGATTCTTCTTCCAGTTTAAGGATGCTCCTTTCTAACTCTGTTGACTCCTTTTTCTTGTTCTGAAAATATGAAATGCACAGCCCATCTTTTTTATTTCAAGAGAGCTTATGGGATTCTTGCAACATATTAGTATCATAGAAAAACCACAAAATTTACGGAATGAAGAAACAAAAGTTGACAAAATGAATCAGTTAGAAAGGTCTCTTTGGCCATCTTGAGTAACTAGTTTTATGACATTTATCAAAATGCTGCTTTATGCAACATAATTAGCAGGGATAATAAGGAGCTATCAACAGATTGTTCATTTGTGACTCCTTACATGGAAAAAAGTGGTATCCAATGAAAATGTTTTCAGAGTTGCTTTATTTGTATATACTGTATAAATTCATGGATAAGCCCATCTTTGATAAGCTGTCCCACAAACTGTTAACTAAATTACCATGAAAAATGTGCTACCTCTCATATAATAATAATAATAAAGTTGGAAGGGATCTTGGAGGTCATCTAGTCCAACCCCCTGCTCAGGCAGGAAAGCCTATACCATTTCAGACCTGTGGTTGAGTCTACCTGCATCTTTCATGGTGTTTTGGTTAAAAATAGGAAGGCCTCCTTATCTGCGGATGGGCTTTTCTGCAAATATATGCAGGATATACAGGTAGATTAAATATATATACTTGTGAATAAGCCTATATGCAGATAAGCAGAACTCGATTTTTGTGTGCATTTTGGTACCTACAAATCTCAGCTTATCTGCTAGTATATATATAGTAGCCTCTTCTACAACTTGTGCTATAGCCCTGGAAACAGGACAGGAAGAGTGTTTATGTTTTTCAGTTCTAGAATTGGAATAGACAGCCAAGAAAATAAAATGACAGATCATCAAAAAAAAATCAACTCAGTTTTCACTTGAGGTACAAATGACAAAAAGCTCAGTTCAAGAGCTGAGCGCCAGGCAATGGGGTGAGCTCCCATTACTTGCTCCAGCTCCTGCCAATCTAGCAGTTTGAAAGCATGCAAATGTAAGTAGATTAATAGCTACCACTTCAGAAGGTAACAACATTTCGTGTGCTTTTGGCGAATAGCCACAAAGGCCACAGGACCATGGAAATGTCTTGGACAATACTGGCTCCCTTGGCCAAGAAATGATGATGAGCACTGTGCCCTAGAGTTGGATGCTACTAAACAGGGAAATCTTTACCTTTAGCTACAAATGACCAGGCTCAAATTATCCTACTGTGGACACATTATATGAAGATCCAGTATTCTGAAAAAGTCCATAATTCTGGGAAATAAGAGAAGCATGACCAGTAGCAAGATGGACAGATTGTTACACAGTCAAACTAGAGTCTTGGACTTCAAGAGAGCTAATTTCAATAAACTTAGAGAGGGTTTGGGAAGGATTCCATGGATGTGCATAAAGAACTCTCTGATCAATTGAAAGATAAAAAGGAGAAGTACAGAAAGTGGAAAGAGGGACACATAACTAAGTCAGAATATCAGCAAATAGCCCGAGCCTGCAAAGATGAAGTGAGGAAAGCTAAGGCTCAAAATGAACTAAGGCTTGCGACCAAAGTCAAAAACAACAAAAAAAGCTTCTTTCAACATGTAAAAAACAAGAAAAAAGTGAAGTAAACAATTGGTCTATTAGTGGGTGAAAGTGGCAAGAAGGTGACAAGCAACAGGGAGAAAGCAGAACTATTTAACTCGTTTTTCGCATCTGTCTTTAAACAAAGGGAAAAAACAGACCAACCTATCAAAAATAGTGCCATAAAAAACAAAATAGAAATACAAGTTAAGATAGGCAAGAAAATGGTAAGTGAACACCTGTCCAGCCTAGATGAGTTCAAATCACCAGGACCAGATGGATTACACCCCAAGGTTCTCAAGGAACTGGCAGATGTGATCTCAGAACCACTGAACTATATTTTTCAAAGATCCTGGAGCACTGGGGAACTGCCAGAGGACTGGAAAAGAGCTAATAATAATAATAATAATAATAATAATAATAATAATAATAATAATAATAATAATAATAATAATAATAATAATGAATTGAAATAAAGAATAACTGAACATCTAGAACAGCACAAAAACAACAGAATAAGGCTGCCTGTATTGAAGCTTGTTCCAAAGAAACAGATAGCACAAGCATTATACTTGATATTGCAGTATTTGCATCTTTTAATGCTTGTGCTAGCTGTTTCTTTGGAACAAGCTTCAATGCAGGTAGCCTTATTCTTTTGTTTTTGTGCTGTTTTAGATGGTCAGTTATTCTTTGTTTCAATTCTTTTATTTCTTTAGTTAGAGGGTTTTGTTCTTCCTGAGGAAGAGGTGCCTGGTTTCCAAATGAGAACAGTTGTATATCTCTGCTGGATTCTTTCACTGCCAACTCCCCCTGGTTTGCCTTACTTCTGGTAAGGCTTTGATTTCTTTGCCCTGGGTAAACCTTTGCAGTTCGTCCAATTCTGTTTCTGTGAATACTTTATTTCGTATTATAAATCGGTGTTGATCTGCTAGTCTCTGTTCTGTTATTTCTGATTCTGGATGTTGTTCTTTCCAGAACTGGTGCATTCATTTTAGATATCCCCTTCTTGTTGGACTTGATCTGTAGTAACAGGTCATTATTTCTTTGTTTTCCATCACTGTGTATCTGCGATGGGTAAACACCTTTTTTTCCAGTAGTTCTGCAGCTGCTGGCCCTGGTTGCTCAGCCAACAGTCCTGAGTCCTGTAACCCATTTTTCACCAGATATCCAGGAACTCCAATATCTAGCGCGGATCTTGTTAACCCGGGTGACATCCGAGCCGGTATGGCATTCTGTAATTTACGTTTCACCATATTTTTTATGGGAGAGACACTCTTTGTCTGACTCCTCTGATGAGACCTGTCCAGTATGGTTGAACCTCTGGCATAGCTTTCATCTTCCTCAAAGTCCACAAGCCCCACAACCACGTAAAGGTAGTGCCTCACTGGGGGTATTATTATTATTATTGTTGTTGTTGTTGTTATTATTATTACAGTGATGATAGATGGATCATTGAAAGACTTGAAAGATCAGATTAGGTATGGATCATCATGGAGAATATCTATTTATGTTGTCACTAGGAGTCAACAATGACTTGGTGGTACATAATCAATTTACTTTCTTGAGGGGAAAATGTAGCAGATAAACCAGTAAGCTTTGGCCCTGGGGATGCCTATAGCCTCCAATACATCCAAACTGCCAATTTTCTAAGGCACAGGTTTTGAACAACAAGAACAATAAACTCCTAAGACTGGTGTGTCAAGAAGTAGCAATTCACCCAGCACTAAAGCTGATAAAAAAATTTACCCTTGCCACTTTGCCTCACTGCTACATTGTTTGCAGAACTTTTAAAATAAAGAAATTAGAACTAGACCTTTGGATAGGGCGGTGTTGGCTGGCTAGGGAATTCTGGGAGTTGAAGTTCACACATCTTAAAGTGCCAAGGTTCAGAAACATTGTGACAGAGCAGATAAGAACTCCAAACAGCAATCCACCAACTCTTTCCAGAAGTACGGAGATGATGCAGTCCTGAAGAAACCCCCATTTTCTTGGAGTTTTGTTGGTTGAGCAACTGTTGAAGAGAGACCAGACTTGCTGGGTAGGATTTCAGATGTGATCTATGGACTGATGCCTTTTTCTTGTTTTCTCCTAAGCCATTCCTGTGACATTCACACAAACAGCAAAGAGAGCAAAATCAAATGAAAAGAAAAGCATCCATTAAAGTTAACAGCTCTTAATTGAACCAGCAATGCTATCCCATCACCTGTGCTCTTGCAGGCTGGCAGTTTAACTAAAACTCTCCAAAGAGAAATAAGGGAAAGAGGAGAGGATTCCAGTAATATACATTTGCCTATTCCAGGTCTTTGGGAATGACTTGATAGGTTGAGAAAAATGCCAAATCCAGTCTAAACTTCTGGCTGACTGTGACCAACCATAGTACTTCAGTGTAAAACAGGGATCTTCAAACTTGGCCCTTTTATGACTAGTGGACTTCAACTCCCAGAATTCCTCAGCCAGCGTGCCTGGCTGAGGAATTCTGAGAGTTGAAGTCCACAAGTCATAAAAGGGCCAAGTTTGAAGATCTCTGGTCTAAAGCATCTGGCTGACTCCGAGCAACCATAATAATAATAGAAATAGAATGTGGCAAAGAAAGCAAAGATAGCACCAATAGTAATAGATGCTTTGGATGCAATACCAAAACACTTGAACACTACTGGCATTGACAAAATCACCATCTGTGAATTGAAAAAGGCAACTTTATTTGGAACAGCTTACATCCTGCAAAAATATCTGTAATATTATTAAACAACAACTTCTGCCTATCCCAGACCCTTGGGAAGGACCTGGTAGGTGAAGAAAAATGCCAAATCCAGCCTAAACGTCTGGCTGACTGTGAGACCCACCATAAGAATATTGCCAAAAAACAGGATGGGATTTTTCCTTTCACTTTTTCCTTCTCTGATTTGCTTGCACCTGGACAGGGAAGGGTTACACGCCTGTTTGAAAAGAGAGAGGGAGGGAAGGAGAAGTCAAATGAGTTTCCACAAGGTATTGCTTTCCTGCTGAGCTGCATCGTTTAGTAAGCAGCACCTCTGCACTCCAGGAGCGGAGAGGGTCCTTGTGCTTCTCTGTCCTGCCAAAGTGTAAGTCCATTTGGGAAACTGGAAAAGGAGAAGGTTGGTGATATGTACGCATCTTGGATTAAGAAGTTAGCAAAGCAATGTTGGCACTTGGATTCCCCCCTGTTTTTGTTTGGGTAGGATTGCCTTAGAGCAGTACTTTTTAAACTTGGGGTAAATTACCCCAAATTGGGTAAAAGTGATTTATGTGAACCCATTACCCAATCACAACAGGAACACTGAAATAAGGATATTTACTGTTAAGCAGTAAAAATGACTTTTTGATAAGCACTTTTGGGTAATGAAGGAAAAAGTTTGGGAAGCACTGGCTTGTAGGAAAGATAAACTGTAAATTGCTATTTTTGCTGGGATTCTCCAAAATGGAATGTCAAGCATTTAACCCAGTTCCTGATTCTAGCCCAGCACCTGTGTTCCATCTGAACACAACACATAGTTGGGTGCTGATTTTTCTTGGTACCCAGATAAACGGTCAACAGAACATCTTTGGAAGAATTGTGATACATGCCTGGCTGTTTGTAAAAAGCACTGGAGCAGAACCAGTGAAAAGAAAAGTTTGTAACTTTATGGGAAAAGTCAGCAGAGGCATGAAGGTATACTCATAAGAATATAAGGTAAACTGCAGGAACAAAGAAAAGTGCCCAGATAGGCCAGCATGCTGATTCCAAAGGGAACTGCCAGATTGTCTAACATTGAAGCCCATTTGCAGGATATATTGTGGGAAGCCATTCTGTTTTTGCTCCACCTGCTCGCACTTAGAGGTAGACTTTCTACAACCTGGAGGCTTTATTTATTTTGGATTATTGATAGAGCCCTCATTTGCATTCAGTGTGTTTAATAAGTAACTATTGCCACCTCTTGGAGACACACATTCCACACATTTTGCATTTGTGTGAAAAGACCCTGAAGATCCAGCCCATTGGTTTTCTAATGGACTTTTCCAGAGTATTATTGGAATTGGCCTTTTAAATATCCCTCACCCTCCAACTTTTTCTTTTTTCTCTCTCTTTTGGCCTTAGCAGAGAAAGCAACCATTTAATTCATTCATGAACTTTGGGTAACAAGCAATCTGGCCTGTGAAACTAAAGTATGCTTTCATCCTTCTCTCAGGCAGTTGTATAGCTCGTGGAGTTACCTGGTAGGAAACTGGGCCTTGATTTCCAGTGGGCCTCTGTGCCATAGCAAGTGGACTCCTTTAATATACCTTAAGTTGCATATTTAAAAAAAAAAAATCCTAGGAGAAAATAGCATTTTAATTATAAGTAATCTTCAAATTATAAACACACTTGGGCCCAAAATTTCTGTTCCTAAGCAAGGCAATTATTAAATGAGTCACATAGGATTTTATGGTCTTTTTGCGTGGTTGTTAAACACAACGATGCAGTTGTTAAGTGAATCATGCCGTCATTAAATGAATCTAGATTCCCCCATTGATTTTGATTTTGCTTCTTGGAAGCCAGCTGGGAAAGTTGTAAATGGTGATCACATGACTCTGGAACACTGCAATTGTCGTAAATAAAGGCTGGTTGCAAAATGCCCAAATTCTTGACCATGGGGATGCTGTGACAATCGTAAGGGTGAGGGCTGGTTAGAAGTCACTTTTTTCAGTGCTCTTGTAAGTTTGAATGGTTGTTAAATGAATGGTTGTAAACCGAGGTCTGCCTGTATTCCTTGCCAACAAAATGCAGGTGAGCACCAGCAGGCTTCAGCTGGCTTGCTCTGTCAGAACTGAGCCATTACTGACAGAAAACAAGCAGGCTGGTCTGGGTTTTGCTGGCAAGCAGTGAAAAGATGTGCGTTTGTGTCATCTGAGCATGTACTCTAGTGGTTAAGGCACCAGGCTAGAAAGGAAGAGACTGAGTTCTAATCCTGCCTTAGGCATGAAAGCCAGCTGGCAACCTTGGCCAGTCATTCTCTCTCAGCCCAACCCACTTCACAGGGCTGTTGTGGGGAAAATCAAAGGAGGGAGATGTGTTGGATTTGTCCTCTGCCTTGTTATATGTAAGAAATAATAAAGGCAGGATACAAATAAATAAACACAAAATTGACGATCTTGGAATGATCACAGGGAAATTGGGGAAATCTCACAATTACTTGGAGGGTGTGGGAGCCAACAACCCTGTTACATCAAGAAGCCCCAGACATCAAATCTTTCTTTGTAGAGGTGATCTTCTGATATGTGTTGGCTACTTGTTCTCTCTCCCTCTCCCTCTCTCTCCCTCTCTCCCTCTCCATCCATCCATCCCCACCTCTCTCTATCTCTATTAGCCATCCATCCATCCATCCATCCATCCATCCATCCCTTCTATCTGTCTGTTTATCTATATCTAACTTTTTAATCACCCATCTCCCTCATGGCTCTGGGCGGTGAATTATAATGAGGAAAAACTACCACTTTGAGGAGGAAAGTAGGATATAAATCTACCATAAAATTAAAACAACTAAAATAAAGATTGGTACAGTATTTGAGAAATCTTCAAACAGGCATGATTCATGATCTGTCTCTGTCTCCCTCCCCTTTTTTTAAAAAAAAAATAGGAAACAGAACAATAATTGTGCCTGGACGTTTTGACATCATGCGTCGCAGCCGAACAACCATGTCCTTTCTGAGCATGGAGGTAAGAAAGTTGGGGAGAGAAGAGAAATGGAGGCCATGATGGATAGCTGAGCTAGCTGGAGATTTGGGGGAAAAGCAGGACACATCCTTGCCAAACTGGATACCAGCAAACCTTAGGATACAGGGAGGTCCATGGAGGCACAATTTCAAAAATATAAGTTGGGGTCAAAGCTCCACCTCTTTTTTCAGATATTATGGGCACCATTTTGACTATTCTGATCCCTCCCCTGCAGACACCCTTATTGCGTTTGATATAAGGTTGTCTGGGTACTCAATTTGAGGAGATCAATAAATAAAAGATGATTACAATAAAGGTAAATGTTTCCCTGTCCAGCTGTGTCTGACTGGAGGGCACAGTGCTCATCTCCATTTCTCGGCTGAGGAAGCCAAGCGTTGTCTGAAGACAATTTCTATGGTCCTGTGGTCAGCCTGGCTATATGCCAAAGGCACACAGAATGCGGTTACCTTCCCACTGAAGTTGTACCTATTAATCTACTCACGTTTGATTATGATAGCAGCAGTTAAATACACAAAATAAATAAGATAATATGCTGGAAGGCAACTGACATTCCATGATCGGTCTTGTTTTATAAGCCAAATTATACATTTTTTCACAAGCAATTTACTGTACATATGAATCAGGATAGCCTGGCAATGCCAAACTTCCTTCCATCTTTCATGCAATCTCAGACGGATTCTTTATGCATTGCAAAACAACCCTTTTTTTCCTAATTAAGACATTGTGCAGCCATTGGGCATAAACCTCATTGCGTCTGCCTTGCTTATTTGAAGGCTGATGTGACCAGGCTTGGCATGGCATCCCTGATAAATCTGTGGTAAAAGGACACACATAACTTAGGAGAGAGGGCAAGGAAATTGCATGCCGTTGGCTATTCATCAGCCGATTAGCACTCTTAAAATATTCTACCTGAGTCAAAAAGGACAATACAGCAAGGACCCAAAAGAGCGAGGAGAGTTGTGTACTATATTGTTATTCCGCAAAGATACAATCGGCTTTCAGCAAATGTGGGCCATCAGAGATGTTCAGCAAAGCAAAAATTGTAGCCCATAAACAAGTGTGAAAAAGCTACCTATTTTATTGATGAAGTGCCTGCTTTGCATGTAAAAGATCCTCTGTTTCATATCTAACATCTTAAACCAGGGGTAGTCAACCTTGACTCTTTTATGACTCGTGGACTTCAACTCCCAGAATTCCTGAGCCAGCACAGCTGGCTCAGGAATTCTGGGAGTTGAAGTCCACGAGTCATAAAAGAGCCAAGGTTGACTACCCCTGTCTTAAACCTTCAGAGCTGTCTTTTGACTTCTCATATTTCTCCATCAACTGCCCAGCCAGGTGGTAGGTAGCATTTAACTGACTTAGACAGAGCCTGAAAAATGTAAGCAGAACTTGGATAGGAGACCATGAAGAAATCTTAAGGTTGCTGGCCAGACTAGGAAACTGAAGGGGAAAAAAAACTTCCCTGGAAGAAAGGAATGACAAACCACTTTCATACTTTTGCCAAGATAATTACAAGGATATATGCATGCAAGGAATCAAACTTGACATGAAGAAAACTATTATTCTGGGCAGGGGGTTGAAACTCTAAAGTCCCTTCCAATACTTCTACAGGTAGTTTTCGACTTGTATCCATTTGTTTAGTGATTGTCTGAATTACAATAGCACTGAAAAAAGTGACTTATAATCATTTTTTATACTTACGACCATCGCACATCGCTATGATCACACAATCAAAATTTGGATGCTTGGCATCTGGCATGTATTTATGACGGTTGCAGTGTCCCGGGATCATGTGCTCACCTTTTGCAACCTTCTGACAAGCAAAGTCAATGGGGAAGCCAGATTCACTTAACAGCTGTGTTATTAATCTAACAACTGCAGTGATTCACTTAACAACTGTGGCAAGAAAGGTCGTAAAATGGGGCCAAATTTACTTAACAACTGTCTTGCTTCGCAAGAAGACAGCATTGGGTTCAGTGGTGGTTGTAAGTCAAGGACTACCTGTATAACATATTGATCAATCAGATGAATGTTGGTCAGTTGGTTCGTGGTGTTTTCAGGATTTTGAGCTTGGTAGTAGTAAAAACAACAACTGCTGATTGGCCTCAAAAGGATTTTGCAGGCAGAATTGTTCTCCTAGCCAGGACCTGACATGTCTGATCCTTCTTTATTTTATTTTATTTATTTTATTTTTAAAATTTATAAGCCGCCCCACTCCCGAAGGACTCTGGGCGGCTAACAATAAAAAACACATAAAACATAACAAACAACAATACAAAAACAATCATCCAGGGGTAAGGTCTTCTTCTTCTTCTTCTTCTTCTTCTTCTTCTTCTTCTTCTTCTTCTTCTTCTTCTTCTTCTTCTTCTTCTTCTTCTTCTTCTTCTTCTTCTTCTTCTTCTTCTTCTTCTTCTTCTTCTTCTTCTTCTTCTTCTTCTCCTCCTCCTCCTCCTCCTCCTCCTCCTCCTCCTCCTCCTTCTTCTTGGATGATGGAGGCAAGCCTCAATCTGCACTGAAGATGTTTCAGCAGGTCAAGGGCAGCTGGGCTCCTTGTGTTTCAGGCCCAGTGTTTCTTGGTTACTGGTCACGCTTGTTCAGTTCTTCACCTGCCCAATTAAACTGGTCAGTGTTTTTTTCCCTTTGTGTTCCATCTAGCCTGCTGGGGTCATGGCTATCTTAGCATGCTTGTGCAGCTCACACATACCAGGGTTTTGTGGAATGGAGGACCTCAGGAACCACAGGATTGAAAGTTCAAATTTCATCAACAAGTGGCAAATGACAGGCTTTGCTGGTAGATGACTCTGGATTTTGCCGGAGATGGGAAAAGCCATTTAGTTCTTGGGAAATCTCTGCCAGTTCATGGGAAAAAAAATCACAGAACATAGAACAATAGTATTGGAAGGGACCTTGGAGGTCTTCTAGTCCAACCCCCTGCCCATAGTAGGAGATCCTATATCATTCCAGACAAATGGCTGTCCAGTCTATTCTTAAAAACCTCCAGAATTGTGCCTCCAGAATTAATCAAATCAAGGCAAATCAGGACTAGAGAAGATTGTAAGGAAACCTTGCACAGTGCTAACATGTTGTTGAGGGCACCTGTTTTGCATGCAAACCACTCCAAATTGGAACTCGGGTATCTTGCATTGAAATAGAAATTGCCTGTGCAGAAAATCAACTTTCCTTAACTTATCCATCATCCATTAGACTCAGTGGTGGGATTCAGCTGGTTCGCACCACTTCAGCAGAACCGGTAGCTAATTTTTTGTTGCCCAGGCCCAGAATGGACTTCTGGAAGTGGCATCCACACAGAAAACCGGTCGTTCACATATTTGAATCCCACCACTGATTAGACTCCTATACCTATAGCATTTTAAGGCAATTGGGACGGCATAACTGGGACTGCAAATTCTATCTTCTAAGGCAAGGGTTCCCAACCAGGTGTGCTTGCACCCCCTGGGGGTGCGAGACGATATTCCAGGGGGTGCAAAAACTTGGATTTTCAAAATAGTGTATATGCATAATTCGTTGCTGTTATTTCGAACTTTTGTAAGGAGTACAAGAATATATATCAGAAGCATTCTAGGGGTACGGGGTATAGAAAAGTTTGGGAGCCGCTGCCCTAAGCAATGTGGTCTTTTAATGATTAGCGCCCAATTTTACAATCTTTTTTGCTTCAGTCTCCAAATGAATCATCTCGACTGTTAGGCGAATCATGTGGTTATTAAGTCAATTCAGCTTTCCCCATTGATTTTGCTTGTTAGAAGCTCCTAAGAAGGCTGCAAACGGCAATCATGTGAGTCTGGGATGTGGCAACCATTATAAATACTGTACATACTAGTTGCCAAGCACCCAAAGTTTGGTCATGCGATTGTGGGGGACATTGCAAGGGTTATAAGTTCAAGAATTGGTCGTAAATCACTTTTTTCAATATCATTGTAACTTCAAATGGTCATTAAACGAGTGGTCATAAATTGAGGACTACCTGCAAGTCTAAAATGGAACACTAAACTAGGTAAAAAACAACAAATAAACTGAATATATTCCTTGTACAAGACAGGGTGAGATCTGTCTTGAGAGGAAAGACAAATTGCTCTCCTGAAAGTGGAAAGAGAGAGGGCTAAAAGCAATTTATGGGGGTGTTCCTGCCACTGTTTTAGAGTGACTTTTATTTGTATTTACATAAAGACAGTCCTTGACTTACAACCATTTGTTTAATAACTGCTTGAAGTTATAACACAGGGGTGTCAAACTGTCGGCCAGATGCATCATAGCGAAACTGCGCCCACCCCATTATCTGTAATGGCAAAAAAGTCACGATACATTGTAACACCTCACGTGACATTGCGAGTTTGACACCCCTGTTATAACAGTACTGAAAAAAAGTGACTTCTGACCCATTTACAAACTTACCACCACTGTAGTATCGCCATGGTCCTGTGATTAGAATTTAGGCACTTGGCACTTGGTATGTTACAATGTCCAGGGGTCTTATGATCATCATTTGTAACCTTCCCAGCTGGCTTCCTACAAGCAAGTCAACAATGGGGAAGCCAGATTCACTTAATGACCACATGATTCACTTAACTGCACTGATTCATTTAACTACTGCAGCAAAAAAGGTCATAAAATGGGGCAAAACTCACTTAGCAACTGCTTTGCTTAGCAACAGAAATTTTGGACTCAATTATGGTCTGTGTTGAGGACTACCTGTATTGTGGTAAACCAAGTTTTAATTGTGGGTTGAATAAATTATGGTTTGTTTCAATTCACACAGTGCTCAGGGGATTCCCATACTGTATAGCAGAGGTCCCCAACCTTTTGGGCACCAGGGACCGGTTCCGTGGAGAGAGATCTTTCCACAGATTGGAGTGGGCGTGGTTTTGTGTGCTGCCTGCATCCCGCAGATAGGGCTTTGCTTGTGAGGCCCGGTTGCTGGCATGCCACAGCCCGGTACTGGTCCACAGACCGGGATTGGGGACTCC